TTCTAATACGTATTAGATTTTTATTTGAATTACTGATTTATTCAAATTCGAAAATTTTGCTACTCTGACAAACCGGTGGACGAAACTATCTACAATTACAAACCGGCTAAGAACATAATATAATTGATGTTGATATCAGTGTCGGTCAAATTCACTTGACGTTGCTGCGATTCATTGCTCCACATTCCTTTCTCCAATGTGGCTAGTGTCATCTGATTAGCACTTGAAGGATCATTCTCTATGTAAAGGTACGCCAGGGAACTCTGATATCCATTTTCATTTTTGAGCACTCTTTCATGTCTATCCTGCGAATGAAAGGAGATGTATGGTTGGCAAGTCCTTTCGCCTGCATGAGCGCTTTTGTGAAGTTTCAAATCACCACGTCGACTAAAGTATTTTCCGCATTCACTGCACTCGAAAAGTTTTTCATCCGTGTGAGTTTTCTGATGTCTTCTCAAATTACGTCGTCGACTGAAGCATCTTCCGCATTTGTCGCACGAGAAAGGCTTCTCACCCGTGTGAGTTTTCTGATGTGTTTTTAGATTGCAGGCTTGACTGAAGTATTTTCCGCAGCTATCGCACGAGAAAGGCTTTTCACCCGTGTGAGTTGTCTGATGTCTTTTTAAATTGTTAGCTTGACTGAAGTATTTTCCGCATTCACTACACCCGAAGGGCTTTTCACCTGTGTGAATTCTGTGATGAATCTTCAGAAAGAGTGCGCTACAGAAGCATCTTTCGCAAGTTGTACACCGGTGTTTTTTCTCCCTGATTTGTTTTCTTCGAAGATATTGAATCGGCGTAGTTCCTTCGCCAGTTCCGTATCCCTCAATGTGCTCGATAGTTGATAACTGTTGTCGGTCATCGTTGCCAGTCGATTGAGTATTCTGTCGATAAATTATAGTAAATTTCTTCGTAAATAGAAATTAAACAATGTAGTGCTTCAAACAATCACACTGATGTCTATGATATGCTTAATAATGAATAATAATGCCTTACTTGCAAATTTATTTTAGAGAAAAACCTGGTCATTGGCATATCTTTTCTGCAAAGACTCAATTGTCTTTGTAGTCGTCTGATTGTATTGCAGTGATGTTGTGGCATTACTCAACAACGCTGAATCCTTCGGCTGTAATGCATTTTCATTTCAGTCAAAGAGTCATAAGTATGTCAATTTTGTTTTCGTTCTTAGCAACTATTTTGTTTAACACTCACTAATTAATCTTATTTCTTTCTGAACTATTATGAAAGTTCACTTAACAAGAACTATTAAAGTTCTTGGCGAAACAGTTGTTCTGCTTTGTCCTCAAGCTCTTACCTTCGCTGGTCCAGCGCATAAATAATGCACAAGAAGCGATAGAACAAAAATACAGAGTGACGCTCCTGACATGTCTATATTGTTGAATGAGAACCACCGATCGTAATTCTGTAATTTACAGTGTTCATTTGCTAGCAACAAATAAAAATTATTTGTGACGAAATTTAAAAAAACTTCTAGCAAAAAATATTCTATTTTTTCAAAATCACATGAGTGAATGTTATCATTACGCAAGATTTCTGATATATGCAAGGTAATACAATTATGCTTGATATTATAAAGTTACTGGAATTGACACACATTTCATACTGTCAGTCATAGCATTCGGAATTGAAATCTATGCAGGCTTAAGGTTTTTTTACTAATATAATGATGACGTTTAGTGATCTCAATCTGTATTCAATCTGGCTGAAGCGAAGGAAAAGTAGTGATGGCATCGGTGACGGAAAGGCGATTTTTGAGTGAAAAAGATGATTTAGTCTCACAACTGAATCTTTTAAGCCGATTGGCAACTGCGTGACAAGGATTAATATGCAAATAATTCTGAGAATTACCAGTAGATCAGTGCTTTGCCTGTCGGGGCGATTTATTTTTCGGATGGGTATTTGAGACATACGTTATTGAGTGATTTTCTCTGCTGCTGTCGTCCTTCGAGTAATGCAGTATCATTTTTCACTCCATTGCTATGTCAATCAAATTATTCCGTAAAACTTAAAATGCAATTTTTCTTCGAAAATATTATTTGAACTTTGATCACCGCAAAGTATGTAAATCAAACAATGCGACAGCTGTGACTCGAATTTCACGTATCTATAATATTGTATAATATGTTTATTCACATTATATCACAAATTTATGAGAAATCATATTTGAGAGGCATATACGATCAA